CCTTATTCTTTCTTTGAAAATCATGTACTGGTGGATTTGCGACGTAATTAAAACTTGATTTGAATCTGATGATCATTAAACTGCTGCACATCAAAAGCATAAACGAAAGGTCTCGAAATTTAGGCATGAATATTTAAATTTAACTTTGTTTCAAAACTCCACCATAATCAGCGAATGAAAAATTCAAAATGCATTCTTGAATTTAATTTCTATGGCTATATTTCTGATCCATAACTGAGTAGTGCATGAATGTGTACATATGATTTACACACCGTTTTCGAATGTTTCAAAAATCTCCAATAAATATTCAAGAGGACCTTTACGACACCAACAGCATGTTTAGAGCTGGAATGCAAGTGTTCGGAAGTAAAAAACTTAAATTAAGTCCTCACTACTTTTATATTATTTATTCAAAATACAAACTTAGTACAAAATGGGTACTAAAAAATGTCCGATACAAAATAAAATAACATTAATAAAACAAAAGTATCTCTGAGAGAAGGAAAACAAGTAACGGAAGCCAAAATAGGAATAAGTTATTCAGGAAGCAGTCTAACAAATGCATAAAGAAAGGACTGACGACTCTCCCCTTTGGATGGTAGTGGAGACTTTGAAGCTGCAGCATGATCACCACTGGTCGGAATTCTAACTATTTCATTCAATGTCATACACTGACCACCTCCGCTTCTTCCTACCAGTCCCAGGTCAATCGAACAGTGAGTAGTGTGAAAGCCACTGCGACGAAATTCGTGACGTTTCCTAGTTTTCGAAGCTGGGTATTTCCAGGAAACGTCACTCAATAAATGATGATCTGCATCATACACAAACAGACACCACCTCACCTTGGAACTAATTACCTGGTATATCCGTCGGACACTAGCAATCCTACAAAGACGACAACAGTGATTGATAAAACAGTCATTGAATATCCTCAACTTGGAGACTAGGTCTCACTGGTGCAAATAAAAAAATCCTGCACCTACGCGTTGTGCACCCAACTTTTTACAATAAAAGCAGCATCATGACAGCACTGACGTTGACCCAGGTAGGCGTATACCGGTATGGTTTTCGATATACGATTGGAAACCTCATAAGGTGCACTCCCTTCAACACTCACCTACTTATTTAGTTACACAAACTTTTCCACTACTTCTAACAGTTGTGGGATTTAATTTGTCTATAGACTCCTCAATCCACTTATGGTTTTGAATTAAAAAAAAACTGTTTCCGGAACACAAAAAATAACACCATAGTTCATCAAAAATAGATAAGCCAAGTGTCAATTTAGACAGTTAGAAAACATCAGACAGTACTTATGTGTGGAGCAAAATGTCTAGTCTGAGTAAGTCATCTTTAAGTATATGTAAAAGGAACAAATAAAAAGGAAACCAGGTTATTCAAAGACTGGGCGTCAACAGAAAGAGAAATTTAATCGGTCAATTGTCCCACTAGTTACTAGTGATAATTTACAGTCATCCTGAAACGACCGCGACCTCATTGTTTCGCTGCCACAGTTCCAAATAATTTGCATCCTCCAGAAAACATGAGTTCCTTTTATATCTCGATAAACCTCCTGAGTTAATTTTCAGGTATGTCATCCTGACCTTATCTTTCCTTTCGTCCCTCATCACCTCAGCTATAAATTTTGGTCAACGGTTTCTTGGTGCGTCAGATTTATTCACTAAAACCAGGTCTTCAAACTACAGGTTCCTGCTTATATTGAACCACATCACTCGTGATTGAATGGTTGCAAGGTAATCTTCTTCCAATCAAGTTAATCTGGTGCTATATTCTCTTCCGTCTTCTGTTATGTAGTGACTTTCCTTCAGTCCCTACTCCCTCAAATCGTAACTGCTTACGCATACATCTAAATTTTTGTGATCACGACTCAACTTCATCAGTGATCGGTTATTCAGAACTCCATTAGCTTCGATTAGAAATGTTTCTAGCTTTTCGCCAATTACTACTCTTTGAAGCGGCAATGTTTGTAAAATCTTCTTCACAGACATGATAATATGTTACCATACGCTACTTCAGTAGCCCAGTCTTGTCGGATTAAAGTGCTTTCGACACACCATTTCAAGAAAATTGCTATCTTATTTTGAACTCATTCTCATAATCTCCATTTCATCAGTATCAGCTTCTCTGAAGTTAGAGTTGCTGTCTTTAAATATGTGCTTTCGATATCTCCCAGTGGCAAATCCGGATACTGCACATAAAAATGAATCAGTACCCAGGGAGTGAGTCATTTCAATGTTAAGTACTTTGATTAAATGGACAAGTAAACTAACATACCCAACGTTTTTCAATTATTCTTGCTATCTTAGTGCATAACGGTCCAAAGTTATCAGCAAAAACAAAACTGACGCTGGTAGCATACCCAGTCTTAACACGCGGTACAACATTGAGTCTCCTAGAAAGGTAACATTGTTTTGAAGCCTTTTTGACCATAGTCTAGCATTTGATAATCGTATACTCATCTCAAAGATGGTTTGCAACATGCTTAATACCGGCATGGGCATTTCCACGAGGCTGATGCACTACAACCATATCAGTGACAGTGTTTACTAATTAGTATGACTTAATGTCTGCTCTCAAATTGTAGGTAAATGTTAGTGTGGCCATAGTGAAGAAGCATAAGTCCGCGTTCCTCTCACAGAAGAGATGGTAAGAAAGATGGGCGGAATGCTTCAGGGACTCCCAACTCTTACAGAAGTACAGCAGGGATTAAGTTGCTTGAAACAAGGAAGGTGTTGTAGGAATCGCGATCAGCATCGCTGAAGCGTTAGCTAGTGAACGAAGATCAGATATGATCCCACCTAACTAATCTCAACTTGTGATTGTCTCGGTCTTCAAATAACGAAAGAAATTCTCCTGTGATAAAAAAAGGGGAATCAGTTTGACTAACATAATGTCCACCATTCTAAGTTTTGTAATCATTTGACACATGTAGAACCCTGGAAAAGGATTCCAGGTGGATTTCAGACAGAAAATCCTGGGTAGTCAACTGGATATTTACCATACACCAGGTTTCAGAACACGGACATACCATGGCCCGACACTAGCTGTATTTCTTAACCTAAAAGTTGGATTTGAATTCGTTAATCGAGAAGTCTGACTGTAATTTCTCTCCCTGTTAGGTGTGTCATTGTATCATTGCATCATTGTATGAAAGGCTGTGTATTCGAACACGCGTGAGCGTGTCAGAGCCTATGGTGAGGTATCAGGTGAGTTTTTTTGCGTCAGGTAGTGTCCGTCAAGGGTATCGAAGATGTACTTGCATAGGATTTCCTCGTCTCATTCGACTTTACGGGAATTCTCCTTGCCCACTGGAGAATCCTTAGTAGAACGAGAGCTCGCACACCTTAATCACCAATTTGAGAATCTTTAGGATGCGTTTCTTGCCATCCAAATGCAAATTGTTGCTTCGGGACTAGTCTTCGCTGACTCCTTGCTTAGGAATACGGAGTGAAATGGTTGAGCAAGTTAACTATATCTCTTACTTGGCAAGTCGGATCAATCGTTCCAGGTCAGTCACCGAGAACATCTCGACGCTGATAAAAAAAGACTTCTAACTTCCACCAACTAACACTACTTATGCCCCCATCGTGTCATCCAGTTGACTAGTAACGGCTGAGTGTACTGCACTTTGATCTGTCTTATTATATGGTTGTGGAACATGGCGATTAAAGCCCGCCTTTGCCTTCGTAGCATAGGCCATGCATCATGTTGGCGCCATCTTATTAAGGGAGAAATCATGATTAGAATTTTGGACAAAATATAAGTCAGTTGAGGAGGTAGTAAACCTTCAACGACTCAGGTAGCTGGGACTTATGTTGTTCATTCCTGTTCCCCAATGTTAGCCGAATTAGGTTAAAACTGAATAAAGTGGTCAGACTAAAGCATGACGTCAGTGCATGAAATCCCTGACTTTTTGTTTGAGCTAAAATCGGTGATTGGAGATTAGGTAATATAGCTCAGAATTGATCTCAGTGTTGCAAATGTTTTCACACATTATCCTTATCCTAATGTCCATAATGAATTTCACCATCGTTTCATTCCTTCATGTTCTTTATGTCACTTTTAATTACTTTCTTCCTTTTATCTTTCATATTGGTGCTTCCTAGCTTGGTACAGCGGTATCATGTTAGGCAACTTGTACCACTACTCATCAGTGCCAGATCCTGTACACAATATTGAGTAGCTGAACGTTGTTTCATGATTTGTATGCGGGCTGTGAAACCTAGAAGTAGTGGGTCAGAGGTATCACTATGTGAAACTAAAAATATCTATCAATGAGTTTGAAACTGAGATAAAAGCGAACCTACTGATCATCAAAAAGAAAGTGTTGACTAAAAAATTACCAAAAAGCAAGATGAGAATGCATAAGACTAAAATAAAAGTTTATATAAGTAAGTGTTAATATAATCCCAGAGTGTTAAAAAATCAAAGCACTCTGGGATTGTTTTAAAACTTACTTATGTTATGATTCAGTCAGACTCGGCACAAAATTTCCTTCAGGACATTCGTAACAACCAAAGACTATATATTTATAAAATAACAGTTCGTTAGTATTTTCAAAGTTAAATAAAGATCAGTTTTATTAATAATAAAGTAAAACGTGAACACCGTGATGAGGTGTAATTGCAGTTTAGCTGATTTATTAGATATATCAAACAGTGAAACAGCATCATTTACTGGATTACGTTTCGGACACAATTTATTGTCCATCAAGAAAACTCCATAACATTTGATATGACTATGGACAATAAATTGTGTCCGAAACGTAATCCAGTAAACAATGCCGTTTTACTGTATGATATATCTAATAGATTAACTGAAATGAAACAGTTTTATTCTTTGTCGCTTACGGTTTTTGTTACTATGTATGCAACCGGATAATAACTTGTAAATTTTGAGTATGATAAAAAGCAGTTACTTTGTTACTATGACCAGTTCAGATCAGTTATACAAATCACGCTTTTCTTTTCTTCTTCCAGACTATAGTTTCGTCATTCTAAACCGGGTTTCAGGCATACCAGTCAACAGTCGTCTTCAAGGTTCTTTCAGTAGTCTACTGTTAAAAATAGAATCTTTTACCATGGCATTTGAGTCGTATGCTTCACACGATAGTCCAATAAATCTTACAGATTACCCTGCACACTTAAAAGAAGCTGATTACCGTGTGTATCGATCAAGATGGATTGTTGTTTTCACGTTCTCAGCACTAAGTTGTACAAATGCATACTTGTGGGTGTCGTTTTCTCCGATCGCTAACTATTTTGTGGAATTTTATTCAACTAGTAACATGGTTCTCAATCTTATCTCTCTCATATTCCCATTAACTACTATAACACTCGGTTTGCCGATTGCACGTAAGATCGATTATTTGGGGATTCGTCTGATTATTTTGAGTACAGCTTTCTGCAATTTAATGTGCGGTTGTTTACGAGCCATAAGTAGTCTACCGTATTTCAATATTTCATCCTTCACGCGTATCGCACTGCTTATAGTAGGACAGATAATAGGTTCTTTTGCTCAGCCATTCTGCATGTTTTGCACTACCAGCCTTGCTTGTGATTGGTTCCCAGATGGTCAGCGTACCACTGCAAACACTATCGCATCCCTCGGGAACGCACTTGGCGTAATGTTTGGTGGTGTATTCGCTCCTAATTATGTTAAAAAGTCTTCTGATATTGTTACCTTCAACTATGTGTCTCTAGGGATAGTTGTTTTCTTGTTCATCATATCCGTTATATTAGTTCGCAGAAGAAAACCGCCTACACCACCTTCTTATGTGGCTGCTTTAGCAATAAACAACCTCAGAACAAATCCAAATCCAAGCATTCTTTCATTTAACTTCTTAATAGCTTTTGTCCCACCATTAAAGTTATATGGGTTTTGGATGATAATGCTGACTTTCGGGTGCTCTATCGGATACTTTACAGTTCTGTCAACTCTTTTACAACAAATGCTTTGCACGAAAGGCTACACCAACCAATTTGCTGGATTTTGTGGATCAATTATGATATTAGCTGGCTTGATAGCGTCCGGCCCTGTTGCTGTATTTGTGGACAAAACAGGACTCCTCCTAGAAACACTAAAGGTTTGTGGCTATTTGATTTCTTGTCAAAGACTGCACATACTTTATGATACGACGATTGTTAGTTTATATATTATGTTTTCTGTGTTACATGTTTGAGTGTAATGCAAAGTTTTCTGCGCTGAGGTTTGAGGTTCATCTCTTATAGTTCCTCGGGTTCAGATTTACTCCCAGTCTAACTTAATTGTTCATCACCACTTTGAGGACCATTTGTAAATAAAATTAAATCCTACGACTTAAATTCAGTGTCAGTGGAAATTTTTCGGGCAACTAATCCAATTCGTCAAGCGATTTTTTATATGGCCCCATCAGTCTTAGTATCTCTAAGGTCTATTTGTTGAAACAGTTCTCTTTTTTTTGCAAGATCGATAATTGCTGTTGATCTTCATTCGAGTTTTGGATGTATAGATTGCCGAAATTATTGATAACTACGTACAATGCTTCTTCAAACGAAGCCTGTCTTGTTTGTCCGATCCTGGCTTTGACGTCCTCGTCTGTGCCGCCTGTAGTTAAAACGGTGCTGCCTAGATAGGTGAAAGAGGCTACTTCCTTTAGGTTTCTCCCGTTGATGGTAATTGGTGTTTGTTCTTGCTGTTGTTCGTTGGTTAAGTATCTTCATCACCTCTGTCTTCTCTATAATCACTTGAAGTCCCATCTTCGCTGCCCTGCCTCTTCTGTCAACTTGTTTGTTTTTGCCTGTAGATCTTCGAGTCTGTGCGACATTAAACATAAATCATTGGCGAAATCCAAATCTTCTAGGGTCTTTTAATCGGTCCAGCCAGCGTGTGCGCCTCTTCTCGCTCCTCACAGTTTGTTGCATGATCCAGTCCACTACAATCAAGAATATCATTGGTGATAGTAGGCCATTTTGTCTTACTCCTGTCCCCTGTCTTCACTTCAAATGCATCACTGAGCTTCCCATTGTGAATTACTTGACATGTGGCGTCTTCATATAGTTGTTGAATGAGATTGATAAGGGTTTGTGGTATCCATAGTGTTGGAGCAGTTGCCGAATTACTTCTCGGTCGACGCTGTTGAAGGCCTTCTCAAAGTCGATGAAGGTGAGGTAGAGGGTTGACTGCCATTCTATACTCTGTTCTATGATGAAGCGAAGCGTTGCAATTTGGTTCGCACATGATTTGTTCTTCCTAAAGCCAGCCAGCCTGTTCCGGCCGTAGTTTTGAATCCAGTGCATCCTTTATTCTCTCCAGGATGATGCGGCTTAATATTTTGCTCGCTTTGGGTGGACAAAGAGGGAGCATGATTCCGCGCCAGTTCTTGCAAAGGCTTAGGTCGCCCTTGTTGGGGAGTTTGACAAGATAGCCCTTCTTCCAATCAATCTGCCGGTACCTTCCCTTCCTTCCAGACCTTCTGCAATAGTGGTATGAGCATGTCCGCTGTTGTCCCTGCATCTGTTTTCAGTGCTTTTGACGGGATTCCATCTCGTCCTGCTGCTTTCCCAGATTTCAGTAGCTTTACGGCATTCAGGACTTCGACTTTTGTTGGAGGATTTGTGTTCACTTGTAGTTCTGTGGTTGCAGGTGGTATTTCTGGATGAGTTGCAGGTATTGGTGGTGGTCGATTGAAGAGCTTTTTGAAGTGGTCAACCCATCGTTTCCTTTGTTTCTCTTCTTTGGTAGTTAGATTTCTTTCATCACCTGTTACTGGTTTCATCTGTGTTGATCTCTTCCCCCCCCCAGATAGTAACCTAGTTATTTGATACAATGTTGTCAGGTCTCTGTCTCTCCTACCTGCAGCCTGTTCTGCTTCACTTGCCAGTGTGTTGTAGAAGTGTCTTTTGTCTTTGCGTGCACTCTTCTTCACTTATTTGTCCAGTGTAGTGAGTGTTTTATAGGTTGTGTTCAGTTCTTCTTTTCGTTGTGCATTGGTTTCGTTGCACTGGTTTATCTTCTGCTTCACCATCTTCCTCTCTCTCTCCCTCCTGTATCAGCTTCCATGTGTCCGTCGAGATCCATTCCATTCCATTCCTTATCTTCTTTCTGCTTTCTTCCTAATACGATTACTCAGGTTTCTTTCCGCATAGCTTTCAAAGAGTTCCAGTGTTCATCTACACAGCTTCTTCACGGATGTTGTTCAATATCTCCCACTTTGTCCTGATGACTGACGTGAAGATTTCCTTCGTAGTTTCGTCGTTCAGTTCAGTTTCTGTTCTGGGTGTTGAACTTCAACTGTGGTCTATCATCACCAGCTTCTTCCTCGAAGGCTTCCAGCTTCATTTTGAAGGTAGGTTCCTTCCACTAGAAAGTGAGAGGTCTGAATCTACATCTGCTTCTCTCTCTTCTTGATCTGACCTTGTGTCCAGTAGGCTGCATCCCCACTTTCTTCACACTGACACGAAGTCGATCTGATTTGTAGTGTGTCTGATGAAATCCATGTCGCTTTTTGGATATCCTTGTGCTTGAACACACTACCTGACTCCAATCACCAAATCGTTGAATGCACAGAATTCTGCAAACAGTTCTCCATTCTCGTTCATCACCTCACCTAGCGCTTCTCGGCCCATGGTTAGTTCCCTTCCTGTATTGTCCGCTCCCATTTTGCCATTCATGTCACCTCACCCATTAGAACTTTGATGTCGCCAAATGAGGTCTTGTCTAGTGTTGATTGCAGTTGTCTGTAGAAATGCTTCTTATTCTCTTGGTCTGTATTATTTGTAGGTGCGTAGTGTAGTATTGTATGATTGTGACTTTCCTTTCTTTTGAGATGAACCTTGCTGTTATGATCTGATCCTGGGGGAGATCGGTTCCCACTGTATGAGAACCTTCGATGATCTTGAAGACATCATGATAGCCACTCCGAAACCCAGTGTACTCGTGTTTGTTGTCTGAGTGGCAAATATCGGATTAGATTATTGACTCTCCAGTTGACAGTTTGAAGAGTCCACTTCTATTCCACCTGCTTACTCAGATTCCTAGCACTTTTATCCTATACCTTCTCATCTCCTTTACAATCTGGGCAGCCTTGCTAGTTTTAAACATTGTGCGGACATTCCATGTCTTCATCCTCACTTTCGCTTTCATCGAGAAAGAGAAGACACATCGGCCAATTGGCTTCCCGAAGGCAGGCTTTCACCCACCGGCGTTATTTCGTCTCTCCGATTCTAGCGAGGAATAAGTTTGTTTTTATTTTTTTATATTATGTTTGTGCTTTGGAGTTTTTCTTTAGCGGTTGGATTGGTTTTACGGGGTAGGGTTGCTAGCTCTGTGCTCAATCTTTCTTCTTTATCCGGGCTTAGGACTGGCTAGTAAGTAGTTAACTAGTTAACCAGGCGAGGTTATTTCGTAGATATGGTTTGGTTTTTTTCAAAGTACCACACTCCATGGTTTTTTCGAACACACTTGAATGATTCCTGTATGAGCCTGTCGCAAATAACTGGGACGTTTATTTAAAACAAGTTTACGGCCAATCATATAATCATCATGCACCGAACAGACCGTATTGAATGGGACAACACAAAGCTGCAACTTGTCAATCCAATCGAATGCCAGTGAGAACCAGGTCGTTACGATTTGTCAGATAGAATGCTCAAATTGAACCTCGTAATCTATCATTCCAGTAAGCTTCAAATATTGTAAAATGCGTTACAGGTTATATATTCTGTAGATTTTACGGAGGGATAACGAAAAACATTCTAAGACTCTTTCTTCAGAAGCACCCGTGAGGTTGGTGGGTGAAAGAAACCAGACTAATGATCATATGAAACCTCCCCTTTTAGAACTTATAAGTATTTCAATTGATATATTAAAAACTCACATTCTTACAATATGAATAAGCTTTTTCTGTGGTTAGTAATCATCTTATTGTCCTGCAGAGCACTTAGATTTGTTATCTAAAAGTGGGCTGTTTTTTTTCTAGTAAAGATCCATAACAGACAGCAACAGAATCTTGTAATTTTATAGCTGGCCAGAAAATTGTATACTTTGTAATCCCTCCTGTTGCATGCTGTATACTCAAATTGTTTGGCACTGTATAACTCATACGCAATAAGTGGTTTTGCATTGTTTTCGTTTAATTATAGATCACATTTTCGTTAAGTGTATTGGGCTGTGTTTGTCTAAGCATTGCATTATGGTTCCCCTATCAACAAATCGCCATCAGCTTTTGTTTAATTTGGCTTGGAGCATTTGGATTCGCACAGTATTCTCTTTGCTTGGAATTAGCTGCTGAGGCTACCTACCCCATTTCAGAATCGGTGACAACGAGTCTGATTATCATCTCATCTCAAATAATCTCTCTGATCATGTTACCTGTTTTACAGTTCACTGCTCCCCTAGCAGGAAATTCAGCGAATATTGTCTCTACTTGTAGTCCTGGAGAAACAATTCAGGTAACGAAATTTAGAAAACCACTTTTTTGTTTGCTTTATTTGGTGAAGCTATAGCTCATTGGTTTAGACTCTCGAATCCCTCTCCACCTACCAAGGTCTGGGCAGGCAAGTAGTACCATTGGCCCTCACACAATAAGTGTGCCTCATCGCAACTTTATTCACGCTACTTTTACATACTCCAAGAAGCCTTATTATATCAGTTAATTTTCTGCTAACAAGTTGTATCTCTAATCACCACTAAGTATCATTTTGTATGTTTAAAAGTGTAAACCAGTACTGTCATGATTTGTTGAATGCGATAATGATAATAATATTGGCAAAGACACCAACAGTTCACTGCATTAGACTCCAGCTTTGAACAACGTAATTGAAGCTGGAGTTTAATATCACTGCGGAAAACAATGTTCAATTAAGTATAAGTGTTAGTATAGCTTTAGAAAGGCATGATATACTACTTTCATGTGATGCTACTATTCTTAGCTTGCATATGTGTAACATGATTAGAAAATCGTAATCAGTTTCGTAGTGGGACTAAAAAACTAATTAAAAACTGCTAGACTTAACTAAGTTCCAGGAATCCGAATGAATAAATAAATCATGTTATTGGATTAACATTTATAACTCGGCTTCATTTTAAAATTCTATTCAAGCACCATATGTTGCTATTTTTAAAAATAGTGTATTCTAACTGTTTTATGTTCAAGCTGTAAGGTTTGTTCTTGGATATTTCATTTCCAGGTCAGGTGACTTTATCACCGCTTACTTCATAAGGATGTGAAGTATTTTCAAGTTACATAAATGCTTATCTGGAATGTTTGCCGACCTTGAGAGTTACTGGATTATGAATAGGTATGACATCTACTCGGATGCAGATTTAAATTTATAAGAGGATAATAATCAAGTAAATCAGTGATCGAAAATGAAGTCACCAATCGTAGTATAACTCGACAGAAACCTAGGTGTTAATGGTCAATACCTGATCGGAAATTATACCTACCCACAATCTAATAACTCGTAAGGTCAGCAGAATTCCTAGGTAAGTATCTATATGACTTGAAAACACTTCACCTTTCTGTGAAGTACTAATAAAGTCACCTGCCACAGATGAAGCTTAGAAACAAAAAAGTTAGACCTCAGAGAACATTGAACAATTATTATCTCTTCTTTAAGCTACAAATCTTCTCTACTGTTGCAGAATACACCGCATCTTTTTATTGGCGTCATAAACACCGAAGAGAAACTGAAAAATTGACTGATTACTACTTTCATGTCACTTTTTGTTTATTGTTTTACATCTCTTGAGGACCTAGGTCTTTTTTATCTATTTTGTCTTTCTGTATTCATATCATGGTGAGTCGCAATACACCAACAAGCCTAATCGTGTTTATTGCTACGAGCATTCATTTTTCAAGCATACCAATCTACGAAAAGTATTTATGCTTTCTCTATATCTTTGATTTTCGAATATTAATCAGCAGGTTGACCTGAAAGACTTCAGGGTCTCTTGTTGTCTTCTGAAAGCCATGCTTAAGATTTTAGCATGATGTTTACACTAAATTCCTTGTTATAATAATGAACCGTTTTGTAAAGTACGTTTTTCAGTTGAATATTCATTTAGTTTTGAAAGAAATAGCAGGGGTGACGAAGTTTTTAAAATCCAAGCAATATACTTCATTTCTTTATTTTCCGTTCACATATGTATAAGCTTAAATTTAAGACTTGGGAAAACCATTTAAACAAAAATTAAAATTGTGAATGAACTAGGCATAACGTTCACCAAATTTTGAAATTCTGAAGGCGCCATACCATAATTAGCAGCACTGACAACCAGCTAAAACTTAGCAACTGAATACTGAAAGAGTATCACATAACTTCGTGTTTTCAGTCACATTTACCGTAATCATATCAGTTTATCTGATTTATTTAGGCTTCAGTTTACCATACTTTTATGCCTTTAAGACCTCATTTTATCGCTGTATATGATATTATGTACTCAAATCATATTTCATTCTGCGCTTATCAAACGAACTTAAATACATATTCGTAGGAACCCGTTTTCGATGAGATTTCCCTACTGACGTCAACTTCCTCAAGTATTACAGTGCCTTAATTTTAATTCCACTATACCAAATATCGAATATAATACTAAAGTGTGTTTCAACATATTCATTGTTGTCAATTTTTAAACCTTCCTGGAATTTAAGTCACCTGAATTTCTAGATGGAATGTAACTACTGTCTGATTTTAGAATGTAGGAATTTTTACATCAGTCATGCTGCTTGGAAAACCTCGTAATCAT